GAGATTACGGAAAAGGAACTGTGACATCGTCTCGTCGTCTATAAAGATAAGAGAACAAAATTGTTGAAAATTATAACAAACATTGTCAACGAAATGACTCGTGTAGTCATAAAAAGAAGATGAAGACAAAAAAAAAATAAATTGCATCATGTCAACGAAATCAGATTTTTCTAATTGCGTACATTCTGCTTTTTTGATTTTATTAATACTGTAATATTTCATCCCTTTTTCTTTGCAGCATTTCGCAATATTTCTTCAGTTTTGGTTTCATTTTTTCCGAATGATTTTTTAATTTTACTAAAGAATTTTTTTGTGTGACACGTTAAATAAAAATAGGAAATACGTGAATAATAAATAAATAGGAAATAAATAATAAATAGATAACGAATTTAAAATAAGTACACACAGAGAAAGAGGAAATAAAAAGATAAAATGGAAAAGTGGATAAAAAGTTGTTCGACAAATGATGAAAATTAAGAAATTGGTTTCTCAGCAATGAAATCTGAACTCGAGGGTTAATCTAAATTAGCTTGGATGAAGAACATCCATGAAGCACTAGGCAGCTTCCGTATGAGTTTATAATTTCCTTCTCTCGGCAGAATTTTTCGAGTTTAGCTCTCCTCCTTTTTTTTCCTTTTTAAACCGTACTTGGCAATTTTTTATTTGCATTCGAAGATAATTAAGACATCAAAGAGGGGTTATCTCTGACGTAAATAATATACTCGCAGAAGAAGAAAAGGAAAAAGAAGAAGAAGAAGAAGAAGCATGCGCAGATGAAAAATCTCACATTACAGAATTAATTACTAATTGCAGTAGCTTTTATCAAGAATGCAGCTTGTCAGCAGGAAGTTCAGTCAAAGATGAGAGAATTAAAGAGAGGAACAGATACAGAGAGAGAATGAGAGGATCCTTGTAAATGAAGAAGTATGAGCAGGATATGCTCATTCCCTACAACTTTTTCTCCTCCGGATTTATCTTCTTCGTGATACAGAAAATCCCAGTGTTCCAGGCACTCATTAGTCACTTTAATTTTACTGATTCGGCTCTTGAGTGAAATTTACGTATTTATAATAATATTTAATTGAAAATTTATGTTTTTTTAAACCTATTTTTTTTGTAACACATATAATTGATTCTACTATAGTTAAACAGGTCGAATACTAAAGGCTAATTAACTTCTCAAGAAAGGGTTCGTTAAATTTTCATTTATAGTTTTTTCAATTCTCTTTTGAACTGAAATCAACTTTTTTTAATTCAAGTACTTTATCTTTCTCTTCTTTACCTTTTTTTACTTTTTTTCATTTTTATTCTCCCTTTACTTTTTTTCTTTTTTTTGTCTTCTAATTATTTTTCAGTAAAAATTTCGTTTTCATATCCTTCAGAGAGACTTTTTTCAACAAATATTTAATGTACTCGATTTAATATAATCGAGAACCTTCAAGGTTTGCCTCTAAGCATATTTTATCTCTTTTTCAGTAAAAATAAAAAATATTAAATTTCAATTAATATAAATTTTTTGAACCTAATTAAATTGATTTGGATTAAATCAAACTTATTTGAATTAAATTAAATTTTTTTTAATCAAAGCTAAATTTACTTAAGACGAATAAAATTAATTTTTTTTATTTTAACTAAGGAATACCAAATTTATTTTAACCAAACTGAATTAATTTAAAACGAATAAAACATATTTGAAGTAAACCAAATTTATTTATAACAAAATCAAATTTCTTTGAATTAAATCAAATTTATTTAGATTCAAACGAATTAAAAATTGAAACAAATAAAATTGATTTGAAATAAAACCAAATTTGATTTGCAACAAAAACAAATTTATTCCAACTCGATCGAACTTGTTTGGATTAAAATGAACTAAATAAAAACAACTAAAATTTATAAAAACCACAGTAGACTTATTTAAATAAAAATTAAATTTTTATGAAAGAAATTGAATTTTTTTGAGACAAATAAAATTTATCTTTTTAATTTTTTTTTATTTTCATAAAAAATTACCAAATTTTTTTGATTAAAATTTTTATTGTACCAATTAAAATTTATTTATACCAAATTATCATTATTTAAAGCGAAAGCAAATTTTCTGTAACAAAACGAAATTTATCTGAGCCGAAAAAAATTTTATTCCAGCAAATTAAATTTAATAAGACAAACTAATTTGAAAGGAATAAAAATTATTTAAAACAAACTAAATTTATTTATAAAAAAATCAAATATATTTTGAGCAAAAAGAACATAATTATAATTATATCATTTTTTTATTCGAAACAAAGTTGCCAAATTTATTTAAATCTAATAAAACTTATATGAACCAAAAGTAAATTTTATTTGAACCAAACCAAATTTATTTGAGACTAATAAAATTTATTTTCTACATTTTGAAATATTAAAATCATATTCATGACCAGAAACTATAAAAAAATCACCAAGTGGCGAGTTTCAAGTAAGTCTGATTGATTTTTAATTTTTTTTCTATCAGCCATATTGATTCCGACATTTTGAATTTTAAAAATCTGACTTCATATTCGTAATCTTGTCCTAATTTTAATTATTTTAAAAAATTTTTCTAATTTCAATGATTTTCAATATCTACTATTTTAATAAAATTTCCCAAAAAGAATTCAATTATTTAAAAATTTTTTAATAAAATTGTATGCAAACATTTAATTATTTTCATAAATAATAAAAATTTCCCAGGAATTCAATTATTTTCAAAAATAATTTTTTTTTTTAAGAATTCAATTATTATCTTCATAAAAAATAATTTAAAATTCTAGAAAATAATAATTGAATTCAAATGATGAAAATAATTTTGATGAAGTTACAGTAACAATATTCTTATAATATAAAATAATGATTTTATCTCTCGGTCATCTTTAATTATTAGAAAACATGAAGAAATCGATCACTCCGAGTCTTCGACTCGGAGCAAAGAGCAATCGATATCTACATATTTTTTCAATAGAAATTGTGCAAATATTTTTCTTCTTTTTCTAAAACAAAATAATAATTTTGTTAAAAAAATTATGATTGAAAAAAAATTATGCAAAATAAATAAATTTTCTATTTCTTAATCACAGTTGTTTAACAATTTTCTCATTTTGTTTAGAAGTAAAGAACAAAAATCTGCTTAATTTCAATTTGACAAAACCTAATATTTAACAAAATTTTAGTCTTTTAACCCCTTAACTGTTTGAGGAATATACAACATGATTGTCCCAAACTGCCCAGCGGAATCTGATACTTTTTCAAATAGCATAATATATTTAAATTATAACTAATTATTCAATTATTTTCTAAAATATCATTAATGACCCTTATAATTTCTTATAATTTTGATATAAAGAAAAATATCTATCAATTTATATACAAATTATATTTATTTTGAGTGATAGTGAACACGACCCACGGGTGGGTCGGAAACAGTTATGGCCATACTTTTTCACGACCCACCCGTGGGTCGGAAACAGGCAACGGGTTAATGAAAAGAAGTGAAAAAAATTCTGATGATTTCTATTTGTCATTACAATTTTGAATTAATTATAAAATAAAAATAATTGTAACATGATAATATAATATACAATTTATCTAAAGATAATAAAAAACAAAAGTATAAAAAAAAGACAACTTCGCAGTGTGAGGGACAGAAAAAGTGAATGAATGAAAGAACATTTAAATTTTCATTCTTGTTAAAAATTCACATTTGTAATTTACTTCAAATGATAAAATTACTTTTACATTTTTATTCTTTCTTCTCTTTTAAATTCTTTTTATAACGAAAAAGTTGATTTTTCTCGTTCCAGAAATAGAAAAATAATTTTACATTCCTTGTGAATTTTCCAAGTAGCCAGAATAATAAATGCAAACTCGAGAAGAAATCATAGCGCTAAAATAAACCTCGTGCTATCGTGCTATCCCTTTCGCGGAGGTCTCATTGATAATTAACCCTCGCGTAGTAAGTCATGAGAAACAAATACTATCATCATCAAAATGCGCAAGTCCTTCAATATTCTTCTTTTTCTCGAAACGCAAGCGGATGAGGGATTTTACTTTTTTCTTCTCCCCCCCCCCCTCTCTCTCTCTTTCAATCTTTCTTTCTCTATTTCTCAACTTGATACACTTTTGTTTCATTTTCTTGAATATTTTTTTTTTATTCTTCTCCTCGTTTGAAATTTCTTTCTGATCTTCCTGGCTTTGAAATGCCTTGAGGCGTGTGCAAAGACTTCTTCCTGTTTGATCCGTTTCAAATCTGGTTTCGAGGGAACCGTTCACCCATTAATGTCGTAAGTATATAACAGGATATAAGTATTATACAAGTTGTTATTCCTTGCACGTGCAAATCTTCTTCTTCTTCTTTATCATTCTTTCTTCTTCATTTTTCTTTCCCTCTTCTTCATTTCGTTCTCACTTTCTTCTTTTATAATATAACCCGCATCGATCTCGTTTTTGTTTTGTTTTATTCGAATTCTCGTGTAACAGCGCGCCGACAAGATGAATCTCTCTCTCTCTCTCTCTTTTGCTGCACGCTGCGCTTTTCTTGAGGAAGTCAAAGTAAAATGCTTTTGCTAAAACTACGCCAGTGTTTTATATAGATATTCTTTCCATGGAAACGATTCGCACTTACGCAACTTAACAGCCTTCGAAACCCTTTTGCCTTTTAAAGTTAACGCAGCATCAAACAACATTCTTACACTTCTCACGCCTAGTTTCTCTCGGCGAAAAATTTTTTTTTTTTCCCTTTCTGCATATAAATTATAACTCACTGACTTAAACGAGGGAATGTTTATCAATTTTTTTGTTGCAAATCGAGAAAGTACTAATTGCTTTTTTATTATCTATATATACTTTTTTTTGTACATTATATCCGCTCTTGGGGTTTTTATTTTTTTTGGAGGGGGGCGTTTTTTTGAATTTTTCGAATATTTAACTCGAGTGGAGGAAATTACACTTTTTTTTGTTTTTAAGGGAAAATAGTTTTTACTTACAGCATCGTGATCGCTCGCCTCGTGTGTTAACGCTTCTCTCGATTCGTTTCGATGCGTTTCTTCTTCTTCTGGACCCGCTCCACTTCCGGCCCAGTAATCTTCCGTCGCATCATCTACTGCCGCCTCGTCTCCTGCTGCCTCGAGTTCTGAATTGTCGTGACCCGCCGCCTATTAAATATTGAAAGTAGAAAAATATTTTTCCAAACAATCAAAAACTAAAGGAAAATTTTAAAAACAAATTATTTATTTTCATTTATTTTCATTTATTGATTGATTATTTTCTGCATTATATTTAAATGCAAAATCCAAAGAAATTGAAGAAATTTAAATAAATTTTAAATTAAATTTAATTTATTTAATTTGAATTTTTTAAATGTTAGATTATTAACAATAGCGAAAAGTAAAAAAAAAAAATAAAAATTACAAAAGAGAAAATTAAAGAAAATAAAAATAACAGGAGCAAAAACTAAAAAAAAATTAAAATTACAAAAGAAAAGACTAAAGAAAACAAGAAATATCAAAGGCAGAAGCTAAAAGAAACAAAAAATTAAAGAAAACAAAAAACTAAAAGAACAAAAAATAAGGGAAACAAAATAAAAGATAATATATATTTTATTGATATTTAGGGAGAAAATAAACATTTGTCTGTGAAAAAGCTGCCAAAAGAAAAAATAATAATAGGAAATAGTAAAAAGACAGAAAAAACCAAAAGTAAAAATGAAAAAAAACAAAAGACAAAACTGAAGGAAAAATTAAAGAAAAAAAATAACAAAGTCAAATACTAAAGAAAGCAAAAAACAATTAAAGAAAACAAAAAATAACAAAGTCAAAAACTAGGAAACAAAAAATAACAATTATTATTTATCCACTCAATTTATTCATTTACTGAAGAATTGAATGGGTTTTTACTTCATTTACTGCATTATTTAAATACAAAATCCAAAATAAAATTGAAAAAAAAAATAATTTAAAGAATTTTTTATTAACAATAGCAAATTGTAATAAAACAAAAACCAAAAATAGAGAAAATAAAAATTACAAAAGAAAAGACTAAAGAAAACAAGAAATAACAAAAGCAAAAACTAAGCGAAACAAAAAATAATGGAAAACAATATAAAAGATATCAAATATTGTAATGATAATTTGGAAAAAATAAACAGTTGACTGAGAAAAAGCTGCCAAAAGAAAAAATAACAATAGCAAATATTAAAAAAACAGAAAAAAATAAAAGTAAAAATGATAAAGACAAAAGACAAAACTGAATGGGAAATTAAAGAGAAGGAAAAATAGCAAAATCAAATACTCAAGAATACAAAAAATAACTAAAGAAAAAACTATTAGAAATCAAAAAATATAAAATAACAAAAGCAAATACTAAAGAAAGAAAAAAATAACTAAAGAAAAAACTAAAGAAAATAAAAAATAACAAAAGGAAAAAGTGAAGAAAACACACAGTAACGAAAGCGAAAACTAAAAAAAATAAAATAATAGATAATTAATATTTCAACAATATTTGATTATAAATTAAATAACAAAGGCAAAAAATAACAAAAAACAGAAGTAACAGTAAAAAAAGTATAATATAAAAAAAATATGTAGAAGAATTGAAGAAAACTTACCCTGCACCTCGCAATTACTACTGCTAGCATCCACACGATAAAATATCTGTAACAAAAAAGAAAAATTTATAATAATAAAGTCATAGTACAAAAAATTATAATAACGTGAATAAAAATAAGTTTAACAATATTAATATTAACAATAAATATATAAATACAAAAGAAGATTAAAAAAAGAACAGCAATAAAAAGAAGTACAAAAACGACAATATACTAACAAATATAAAAGTATTTTTTTACAAAAAAATAACAATAAAAAAAGTTAATAAACAATACTAATAAATACAAGAATATATACAAAGAGTAGTTACAAGAAAAGTAAACATAATGACAAGTTAATTTATAAAAAACATTTTTTTTTGTATCTACTTCTGTATTTGTTATTTTTTTTTTTTGTTTAAGTTGTTATTATGTTTTCTATTTTTGTACCTGCTTTTGTATTATTTTAATAAGAGTTGTTGTACTATAGTAAAAATAAAATTATTATTAATTAATTACTATTTATAATTAATTAAAATAAAAATATATTAAATATAAATAATCAAAAATATATATTTTTGTATCTACTTCTGTAATTGTTATTATTTTTGTTGTTGAACTTGTTTTTATTTTTTTCTATTTTTATACCTACTTTTTATTATTTTAATTAGTGTTGTTGTTTAACTAGTAAAAATTAAAGTATTATTAATTAATTAATAATTAATTATACCTTATTAATTACTGTAAAAATTATTATTAAAATTAATTATAAATATTTAATTTTATATTACAAAATTAGTAAAATTTATAAGTACTAAAAATTGAACAAAGTAGTTAAAAGTACAAAGTTAAAAGAACAAAGTAATTAAAATTAACTTATAAAAAACGCAAATAATAACAGAATAATCAGAACAACAATAATATTAACAATTATTAAACCATAGTCAGTAACAAGCAGAAGTGAAAAAATAAAAAAATACAAATGTAGGTTAAAAAGGAATAGTAAAAATAAGAACAATTTAAACAACGAAAATAGAAAAAAAATACAAAGTAAGATATCAAAAAGTAGCAGTAACAACAGGAGTAATAATAAAAACCAAAAAACTACAAAAATACTAGAAAAGAAAAAAAGAAAATGTAGAAAAGAACACAAATTCGAAGAACCAAATTCGAAAAATATTAAAAAACGACAAAAGAAATTTGTAAATAATTCTCGCTATTTCTTTCTTGTAATTATCAAGAGAAGCAAATTTCCATTTCTATACCAATGAGAGGAAGTGTCAAAATTCGCATGTCAATTTACTTTTTTTGCAAAGAAAACATAATTGTTTGTAAAAGAAACGGATTTACAAAACAAGTAATTCATTTCCTTTTTACTTAGTTTTTTTTGCCAACATATTTCGATTGAAATAAAAGATATGCGAGTTAAAGTAATGATAAACATCGCGAATATGGCGTAAGATGGAAGTGCACGCGAAAAGAAAAATAGGATAATTTCTCCTGGTAGCTTGTTTGTATCCTACGTTTTTTTTCTTAACGAAAAGCCCTCACTGTGTTGTTGTGTTGATTACTGCAAGTATATCACAACACAACACAACACGCGGATCGAAAATAGCGATAAATTTTCTCTACTTTGCTCGTGCCACACGATATTATCCATTATTAGCAGTCACTAATTACAAACGATCATCGCATTGACCTGCTAAACTCTTGGCTAGTAAGACGTATGTAATCAACTGCAATCACGATGTAAAAGACTTTCGGATAAGACTTAATCAACTCGTGCATCATTTGCTCTATTAAAGTTTATAAAATCATTCCACGGAAGTTTCTATATATATAGCTATAAATATAGATTTGTTAGGCAGGTTAAAAAAGGAGAAAAAATGGACAAAATCTGTTCAAAATTATACAGAGAGTTTTAGATGAACTATTATTTTAATTATTGTATTAAAAAGTTATGATGGTAATAGTGTTATTAATTTTATTATTATTATTATAATTATTAACTATTAGGTAATTTTAATAATAATAATATTATTTTCTTGTAAAAAGTGAGGAGAACATTTTTTCAATGAAATAAAACCTTTTTAAAAAGAAAAACCAAATGAAATTTTTCTTTGAACCGAAGTAAATTTATTGAACCGTTCCGAATTAATTTAAAAATGAAAAAATAACATTTGAAACAAACCAAATTTATTGTAAACAAATACAAATTTCTTTAAAATAAACCGAATTTTACTGAGGAAATTTTTTTCTTACTTATTTTTTCAGATTATTTCCAATCAAAGAATAACAAATTTTTAAATCTAAATGAAACTTATTTGAACTAGTATCAAATTTTTTTGTACCACATCAAATATATTTGAGTCAAAATAAATTTATTTAAAAATTATTTTCTTTATTTCTTCTTTTTAACAAAATGAAACCAAAACAAATTTATTTGAATCAAATCGAATTTATTTGAACCAAATAGAATTTATTTGAACCAAATCCAATTTATTTAAACCAATATTTGAAACAAAAAAATTTATTTTTATGAAACCAAATTTATTTAAAGCAAATGAAAAAAATGTTGAATGAAAAGCAACTTTTTTTAATTAAACTGAATTAATTAAATATAATTTTTTTTTGTTTCAACTAAACAATATTAAATTTTTTTGAACCAACTCGAACATTATTTAGAAACGCAGAAAATTTATTTGAAACAAACAAAATAATTTAAACCAAAGCAACATTTTTTTAAATAAATTTTTATTTTAATTAAATCAATCTTATTTGATAGAAAAACAATTTTTTTCAATCAGTCCTAATTTATTTGAGACGAAAAATTTATTTTTATCATTTTTATCATTTTTATAATAAAATATGAAATTTATTTGAGAAAAACTGAAGACAAAACCAAAAGGCAAGTTTTTTTTCAAACAAAAACAGAGACAAATAAAATTTTTGAGTTTTGTATTTCCACTAAATAACGCCAAATTTATTTTTGAATCAAGCAGAATTAATTTGAAACGAATCGAATTTTTTTGAAACAAATTAAACTTATTGAATTTATTTAAATCAATCCGAATATTATTTAGAATAATGAATTATTTATATGAAAACAAAAATAATTTAGTACAAATCAATTCAAGTCGATCGTATTTGAAACAAAAACAAAGTTTTTTAAACTATACTGAATCTATTTGAGAGGATAAAAATTAAGTTTTTAAATTTTCTTTTATTTGAACTAAATGAAACTTCTTTGAAACAAATAAAATTTTTTGATTCGAATCAAACTTTTTTGAATTAAATAAAACATATTTGAACCAAAAGCAAATTTTTTGAATTGAATCAAATTTATTTGAACCAAAGTCCAATTCTTTTAAATTTCCTAATTTATTTGCAACGGAATAAATTTTTCTTTTGTTATTTCTTTCCATTTGAATTAAAACGAATTTATTTGAACTAAATACAATTTTATTTTTTAATCAAAGCAAATTTGTTTGAACCGAAATCAAATTCTTTTGAATTTCCTAATTTATTTGAGACGAAATAATTATTATTATTCTCTTTTAATTAAAACTAAATTAAACTTCTTTGAAACAAATTAAATTTTTTGATTCGAATCAAACTTTTTTGAATTAAATAAAACATATTTGAACCAAAAACAAATTTTTTGAATTGAATCACACGGAGAAAAATAGATTATATGTGATATAATCCAGATTATACTTTTTATGATATTTTTACATTGTATATAGGACAGTTAACTGGGATTATAAAATTGAATATCTAAGTATTACCACTTTCAAATTATTGATCATATTAATTTGGATTATAAAACTTGCATCAATATAATTATATTAGTCTTTAGGTTATTTTAAATAAATAAAATTTTGACAAATCAGAACTAACCCATAAATTTAAAATAATTTATTTAATATTTAATTGCCTAATAATAAAATTAAAAAAAATAAAAATTTTGAATTTGTTGTTGCTAATAATTTATAAATTAAATTGATTGATCAATTATTATCAATCAATCAATTTATTTTTTTAACCTATAAATTTATTTGTAAATTTCTTGTAATTTCATTTTTATAAATCTACAAAACTATTAAAACTATTAAAAAAACTATAATTAAAACTTTTATCAATTAAATAATAATTAATCAATTAATTGTAAATAAATTTACAAACAAATAAATTCTTACTAGACACAAAATTTATGCTTTGTAAGTAATAAAAATACTTTTAAGAAAAGGTTAAAAATAATATTCCCTTGTAACATTTAAAATAAAAAATGATTATAATCAATAATAAGCTAATGGAAAATATATGCATAATGCTGTAATAGTTTTTAGATTTATAAAAATAAAATTATCAGAAATTTACAAACCTGGAAAATTAAAATAGCAGCACATGTAAAAAAGTTCGAACACAAAAAATTTTCAAAACAACATTAACCTCATAAATGACAATTTGAAAAAAACATGTTGCTAAAGTAATAATCTAGAATTATAATTTGATTCAATTTTGGAATATAAAATTTATAATCTATTGTGAATACCAGAAATAATTCTAAAACATTAAAAGGTTGTAAATGGATTATAAAGTGTATTAATCAGATTATATTCAGTATGATCTTATTGTTTATATTCCTAATTGTATAATCCATTTTTCTCCGTGCAAATTTATATTTGAACTAAAATCAAATTCTTTTGAATTTACTAATTTATTTGCAACGAAATACATTTTTCTTAATTTGTAATTTTTTCCCTTTGAATTAAAACGAATTTATCTGAACTAAATAAAATTTTATAGTCTAATAAAAGCAAATTTGTTTGAACCAAAATCAAATTCTTTCGAATTTCCTAATTTATTTACAACGGAATAAATTTTTCTTTTGTAATTTCTTTCCCTTTGAATCAAAGAATATCAAATTTTTTTGAACCAAAACGAATTGATTTGTACCAAATACAATTTTTTTTAATCAAAGAAAATTTACTTAAACCAAATCAAACTTATTTTTACCAAACTACAATTTCTTTTGCAACCAAAATCCAATTTTTTGGAGAAAAA